CTTTTCCCAAAGAAGAAATTTTTTAAGTTTTTTAAAAATATTTTTATTTGTTGCTAGACCTTTTTTGTTTATTTATATGCAGTGCTGAGAATCGAACCCAGTGCCTCACACATGCCAGGCAAGTGTGCTACTGTTGAGCCACAGATCCAACCCTTAAGATATTTTTTGATTGACATAACACTTATACACATTTAGGAGGTATAATGTGGTGTTTGATTCTTGTATATGTTGGGTATCGGTGAACTCAGGATAATTAATATATATATCACCTTGAATTTTTATTATTTCTTTATGGTGAATATATCCAAATTCTTTTCTTCTAAGAATTTTGAGATATACAATGCATTATTGATAATTATATTCTCCCACTGTGCCTTAGAACATTAAAATTTATTTCTCCTATCAATTAATAATATTATATCTTGCCAAGGTCTCGGCTTGGCACCAGAATCACGAGCCACCACACACCTTTGTAGGTTCAAACAGCAATTCTTTATTCCCGCTCTCACACCTCCTCCACACAGGTCCAGGGGCAATCGCATTCTGCCGTCTCCCGCACAATTCACCTACTCCAGGAGGCTATCTCCAAATCCCATTTTAATCTCACGAGAACTCAACGGGAACAAGCAGCAGGAATACCCTAATCCCAGCAATAATCTTCAATCTCCAACTTCCCTAAAACCCATTATCTTAAACTGGCAACGCCTTAAACTCAAGGAGCCGGTTACTTCCTCAAACCTGATCAGCTCTAAACCCGGATCCGCCTTGGTCCTTGAGCAAGGTCACCTTATTAAAGCATGCATGCAATGTCCCATTGAATGTCCTCTAAGCAGCATGGGGTACGCTTGGCAAGGAAATTTCGATGTGTCATTCCTACTTGGTAATGGCCCTCAGCAATATCTGTTGATGGAACTTCCGTATCCCTCCTCTCTCCTGTTTTCCCCAGTTTCTGTTAACCGTTATTCTGCTCTCAACTTCTATAGATCAATTTTTTTTTTGAGATTTCATCTGTAAGTATGAGATTATGCGGTTGGTCTTTCCGTACCTGACCTATTTTACTTTACATAATGACCTCCAGGTTCATCTATCTATTCCTGTCAGGTTGCAAATGACAAGATTTCATTTTTATGTCTGAATAGTATTCCATCTCTGTGTGTGTGTGTGTGTGTGTGTGTATGTGACATTTTCTTTACCTTTTCACCTGTTGATAAACATTTAGGTTGATTTCATATCCAGTTGTTTGGTTGTGCTGCAAAAACAGGGAGTGCAGATGTCTTTTTGATATGTTGATTTCACTTCCCTTGGATGTATATCCAGTGGTGGGATTGCTGGATCTTAATGCAGTTCTATTTTTAGTTTTTTTTTTTTTCTAGAAACCTCCATATTGTTCTCCATATTAGCTGTACTAACTTACATTCCCACCATGAATGCAGAAGGGTTCCTCTTTCTCAGGGGAGTTCTTTCTTTGGATGCTTTCGCCTTCCTCAGGCAAGAACTGCTTACACCTGCAGCCCACATGACCTCAGGCATAGCAAATCTATGGAGAACACATGGTTTTTAAGGTGCCTTTTTACACTCAATAATTCAAAATAAAACTGATAATTATAGCTAATATATATTTTGCACTTAAATGTGTGCTAGGCACTTGAGCTAAGCACTGTTATCCTGGGAAACAGAAGTATAGAAAACTTTAAAAACTTTCCCAAGCTCACAAGCTAGAATTAAAGAGGTCAACAATTGAATTCCAGTCTTCCCATCATATGCAGAGACTATGCTCTTAACCGATGCACTCTTACTCTCTCTTATTTTGGAAGTGAATATAAGCTTCATCTGTAAAATTCTACTCTGTGGAATAGAAAGTAAAACAAATCAAGATTACAGGACTTTAACATATTGTTTAATTCAAATAATCTGTGTAATAGTTATCCATTGCCTTGTATAACCCTAAAATCTGGCAGTTTAAAACAACAGACTTCTGTTATCTCTCACAATTCCTGAGGTTCAAAGAACCAGGAGCTTAACTGTGTGGATCTGCTTCAGGGCCTCTCATGAGGTCACAGACAAGTTGTTGGCATCATCCTGAGACTCTCAACTGATGTTGAAGGAACCACTTCCCAGTGCACCCCTGGGTCTCACTGGCTGTTGGCAGATTTCATTCTTTACCATTACATGGGCTCCTCACAGGGCTGTATACAACATACAGCTCTTTCTCTCAGAGAAGGAGAAGAGTAACACCCAAGAGTAAAATTTTTCACAATGTAGTCATTAAGGTGCTAGAAATTTCATCACTTCTGCATATGCTGTTGGGCACAAAGACCAACCTCACAAAAGTGGGGGAGAACTTTAATGACACAAATACCAGGAGATAAGGATCATCTTGGAGTCCAGATGCCACATCTAGCATTCAAATCCATTTAATCTAGGGCTCTAACCCTGAGTGTGCTCTCCACCACATAAATCCTTTTTAGTTCTCTTACATGCATGTAAAATAGGAATATCCTGGGCTCTGGATATAGCTTAGTGGTAGAACTCTTGCTCAGCACGTAGGAGGTCCTGAGTTTGATCCCAGCACCCATCCCCACCACTAAATAAATAAATAAAGGAAGAAACATCCTAATATAGAATCTTGGGGGGAAAGGGCCTCAAGCAACTGATTTAGATTCCCAGCTGTCTTGTTCTTTTAAAAGATGCAGTAACATTCAGATATTAATCACAGCCTGGGGTGGTTCTTTACTTCATACATGTAAAAAAGCCATTTATGGAAAACTGTTTATTTTCCCAAAGTTTCAACTTCTTTGATATGCTCACTGAATTGTTTTCAGACCCTTTCAGGAGTGTTTTCTGATGCTCAACTGATATTTTCCTAATGTTAAAATAAGACTTTCACCTTGTTTATTTGGACAGCAGTCAACATTTTCTTCATAAGAAGCTTTCATTTATTTTGAAATGTTAAAATAATATTTTAGGATACAAAAAAGAGGTTTATTTTCAAGAAGCTTCATTTTTATTTTCAGTTAGTTCCAGATGAGCAATCTTACTTAAGATGTTAGAAAGTGTTAAGTATACTTCTGAAGGCACAGTTCTTCCTGAAGGAAGCAGGAAAACCAAACAGTAACATGTAAAGAAATGGCCAGTACTTGTGATAACGTTTTTATCATAATTTTTTAATCTTCTATGCTTTATGGAAATGTTTATATTTCCTGTGTAAAAGTTACTGGTGACACTAACTTCCCCATCTGTATTTTTATTTTCAATTTAGAATATAGTCTCTGCTGAATACTACTCAACCAACAGATTACATTTTACAAATGTATACTTAGTTCTTTTTCTATCACTAAGTCACTCTTATTATGAAAGAGCTGCCTGGCATGCATGAGGCTTTGGGTATAATCCCCAGCACTGGGGAGAAAAAAAATCTTCATAAAAGAGGACTAACTTGCAATGTTAAATTTAGCAGTGCAAATTCTTAAAGGCCTCCCTTCAGTAAGATAACTAGCTACATCTGGCTACTGAGCACTTTAAAGTGTGGATAGCTAGACTGAATTGAATTATGCTATAAAATACACATTGAATTTTTAAGAAAGTGGGTCAATGATTTTTACAGAATGTAAAGCAGCATCTTATTAATTTTCATATTGAGTATACAATACAATGATAATGTTCTGGGTTCACTAGATTAAATGAACATGCTATTAAAATTAATTTCACCTTCAAAAACTTTTAAAATATGCAGCATTGTCAAATTTTTAAAAAATAGCATACTCAGTTACGTTTAAATTCCACATATACCTACATAGGACATACTTTTACTAAAATAGCTTTAGTAAATTTCTTTATCCGAAATTCAAATTTAACTAGGTATATTTTTATTGGCTAATTCTGGAAAAACTACTAACATCACTACTAAAAAACTTTAAATTACAAAAGTAGCCAGTGCAGTGGCTCCTGCCTGTAGCAGTCTCAGCTACCTGGGAGGTTGGGGGAGGAGATTAACTCGGGAGTTCAAGAACCCATTTCAAAATTGTAGAAATAAAATTAGAAATGCAGCTCCTTATTCTATTAGACAATTCTGCTTTAGAATCACTTAATTGCTAATTTTTTTAAAATTACCAATCAGCTCCTCAGTTAACTGTACAAGAATAACTAATCTGCAAGGGGGAATATTTACTCTTGGGCTGGGATCCTTAGTGATCTTGAAGTTAAATTTTTACATTTATTTGAACAAGTTAAAGAACAACACAATGACTTTTTTTTAAGTGTGTTCTTTTTTTCCATATTTTTTATTGGTGCATTATAGTTGTACATAATAGCGGGATTTATTGTTACATATTCATCCATGCCCACAATATAACAAATATAATTTGGCCAAAATCATTCCCCAGTATTACCCCTTTCAACAAAAGGATTTCTTACAGAACAAAAATATAGAAATGGCCTGTGAAGGGCTGGAGTTGTAACTCAGTGGTAGAGCCGTTGCTCAGCATGCAGGAGGCATCGGGGAAGATGGGAGGGGAAGGGAAAAAGAAAAGGAAAGGAGAAAACAAAAAGGGGTTAGAATGAAGTCCTTGCTTTAGCCTCAGTATTGCGGTAGCGTCCCAATTTCAGAATAATCTATCACTCTCATAAAGATAGGCCATGTCAAGGGCAGGGCTGTCCCTCGGAGTCTAGGCCAGTCGCCTTCCCTCTCTGGGCAGTAAGTCGCGAGCTGGCCCGCCGGGCAGCGGAGACCCACAGACGCGGCGCCCGGCTCGGCCACCTGGGTGGCTGGACCGCGGAAGCCCCGCCCGCGCGGCCCCGCTGGAGGCAAGACCACGCCCCTGCCTCGGGCGCACCCGGCGCGAGGCCGCCCACCGCGTCACCCTCCCCGGGCCCCCGCCTGCCGCACTGTCTGCCGGCGGGGGGCGGGGCGAGCCTCGCGGCCCAGGCTCGGAACCCGCCCCGGCCTCGCGCCCTATGTAAGGCAGGCCGCGGCGCCCGGGCCGCGGTGGCGGCGACAGCGGGAGCTCGAGAGCCTCCCGAGTCGGAGGGGGGTCTCCGGTGCGTTCCTCGCTCGCTGGTTCTCTCCGGCGGCGGGTGCGCACACGCCCGCAGCGTCCCGCCCCCGCGCGCCGCGGTGTCCCCAGTGGTCCCCGGGCCGCTGAGGACAACATGCGGGACTACGAGGAGGTGACCGCCTTCCTGGGCGAGTGGGGGCCCTTCCAGCGCCTCATCTTCTTCCTGCTCAGTGCCAGCATCATCCCCAATGGCTTCAACGGTATGTCAGTCGTGTTTCTGACGGGGACCCCGGAGCACCACTGCCGTGTGCCGGACACCGCGAATCTGAGCAGCGCGTGGCGTAACCACAGTATCCCGCTGGTGCTGCAGGACGATCGCCAGGTGCCCCACAGCTGCCGCCGCTACCGGCTAGCTACCATCTCCAACTTCTCAGCGCTCGGGTTGGAACCGGGACGCGACGTGGACCTGGAGCAGCTGGAGCAGGAGAGCTGCCTGGATGGCTGGGAATTCAGCCAGGACATCTACCTGTCCACCATCGTAACCGAGGTGGGTGGCAGCCCCCCACCAGGGTCTGATGACACAGAGCAGACAGATGTGGTCTTTGAACCCTCCCACCCCCAGGTGTGCACAGGACGCTGTCACCTTCCCTTCAACACAGGATACCCTGGTGATGAGCATCCTCCAGCCAGGTGGCTTAGGAGTACCTAGGAGTTGACTTCCAGCCAGAGCATGACCCTCACAACAGGAGTGTCAGGCTGGCCCTGAATCCTGATGGCCACATTGGAGATGGAACCAAGAAGGCCCTGGCAGCCCTTGGGAGATGCTCTAAGATGCTGAGTGATCCAGCTTTTCTCTAGATGGTAGTGGAAATGATGAGGAGCGGAGTCAGGACTTGTCACCATTTTGACCTGCCATTTGGCATCTGTTCAGAGAAAAGAAATAACTATTCTTTTCAGAACTTTTAAAGTTAAAGGAAGCATATGTACAAAATTGTCTTCCCTCCACAGTCTGGGCATACCCTGTGAAGAATTGTTTTCCTTTGGCCCATGGGAAGCTGTACCTTTTTAAAGACCCATGCACCTGATGTTGTATTCAGTCAAAAATAATTGGCCAGATTTAGTGAAAGCATATAAGTAACCTCTGTTCATAGGGACTGAAGGTAGGCAGTACCTTTCTTATTCTCCAGCCCCTTGGGTTTTCCTTTTGGGTAGCTTTATCTGTCCCCAGGTGAACCCATAGTCATTTGATGGTAATGGTGCATGTGGATGTACTTTGAGACTTACTAAGGTAATTACACTAATTCCCTGGAGTCTCAGTAGAACTGAGTAAGCAGGTCAATGAAAAGAGCCCTCCTTGATAGGCTTTGGGCCACTAGGTTCACTGCATGTCAGATTAGGAATTTGTGGTTAAGGAAGGCTTCCTTGAGGAGGTTGCCTCTGAATGAATTCAGAGTGTTCAAAATGGCAGTCGTAGGAAAATGTAGCAGGAGGGAGAGGGAAAGGAATGATGACAGAAGTCATGGGTCCTGGCCTGGCATCAAACCCTGCTGGAGGCAGGTACTGATATTCCTAGAGCATCAAAGATCCTTACAGGGACTCTGAAGGCCAAGGTCTGTTGCTTCTGAGGGCTGTCACTCTTCAAGGGTAGAGTCTGAGAGTTGCCCCAGGAGACTCACTGTGTGCACATATGTGTTTTCTGTGATTATTTAGAAGTTTTGACATCATCAGCACCTATATCTGCTCACTCCATATAAAAGTAAGAGGAATGTGACCTAAGTAAGCCCCACTAGGATTTCTCACCCTACTAGGTGACATCTTTCCAGTAGTGACATCTTTCCAGTGTCCTGAAGCATCACTCCTTGACAAGAGTCACTAAGTGGAAGCAGCCTACTGCTTTGTGATCCATGAGTGCACAAAGAAAGAATCAGAATTTCAAATTGTCCCAAATTCTGTTTTATACACTCACAAGTGTGTCTGTTATCTCCCCGGAAGCCAGTGAAAACTGTGAAAGCAGAGTCTATATCTGGGGTTGCAGGCATAGATCACAGAAGGAAGCCAGGCTCCATGATCTAGGAGTTCCTACAAATTCTACTTGTGGTTGCCCAAAGAAAGGGGAGGCCTGAGGTCACAATCAGCTCATGGTACCTCTTGGGGTTTTCCCCTAACCTTAAGTGTACCTGCTTATTTAAGTCATTTGTTCCTACTTTGTTGTCCCTATCCTACCTTCTCCCCAGAATGGTGATATCACTGATGAGCTAGCTCTCAGTGGCCAGCTGTGGAATTGTCCTGACCCTTCTGACCCTACTTTGCTGTCAGTGTCAAACTGTTTTATATATGTATGCTTAGACTTCATTTAGCTGTATAAGCAGTTTCGCAAGAGCTATGTGCCCTTTTACCTACTTACAGGTCAGTATTTGCAGGGAGGCAAGATTAATGCTTTACTTCGCTCTTTGTTTGGGATCTGGAATGCTTGACTGGAAGTTCAAGGCTGCTAGTTCCTCTTAAGGGAATAGTCACTATTGGAAGCTGCTTCATCAACATTCTGATGACTTGTTCTAAGGCTCATTATCTTTCAACCCAGACAGGCCTGCTGACTGCTGCAGCTAGTCCCATGCTTGCTAATGTCTCCAAGCCTGCCCTCTGACCCAAAGGAAACATAGAGGTGTTTGTAATACACTAGTATTGAGTATCTATTCATATTTGATAGACAACTAAAACCTCAGCTCTTCTTTTTTTCTTTTTTCAAGTTAAAGTCCAACTTTGCATCTCCCTTATCTCCACACAGTTTTGAATGCAGGGGAAATTTCCATTTGGGAAAGTTTTTACAGAATAGTTTAATGAATAATTTAAGAAATCTGAAATTTAAGAACTAAGAAAAATGGCTAGTGTAATTCATAGAAGGGAAACTTGGAAGAAGCCAAAAGGATTGACTAGGATGTTTTAAAAGAAAAGTGAGCGATTCTCCACCCCATTGACTAGAGCTTGGTGTTGTGTGTATCTGGATCAAGGCATTAGGATGAGCAGAAAGAAGGGGACACTATGAGGTGAAAGAGATTTATGCACCCATGTTTCACGAGTGTTTTAATGATACACATACTTCTAGCAGACCCTTCTTCTGGCCCCTCAATCATCCAGCTCACCTTTCAGTGCTTCTCAAACCAGGGCTGTCCCCTTCCTCTGGGAACTGGGTTAATTTTTCAGGCTGCAGGGCCTACCTGTTCTTTGATTTCAACACAGCCCAAACCAACCTGCAGGCAGAAAGTGTCTTTGATAAACTTCTAAAATTTCTGGCAGCTACAAGTTGGGGCTCCTTCAGCTGAGAACTGGCAGTCCTCTGCATCACCTTGCTCCCTTCATGTCCCTCCTCTCCAGAAACCCCAGGGCCCAGTCCTTGGCAGGACTCTGACTCACTTGCTTTTTTCCTGAATTAGCTTTTCTTTCAGTCTTGTTTCATGCCTAGATGGTCTTGGGAGATGGGAGAGCCCCCACTGTTATCCACAAGCCTATGTGGACAAAAAACCCAGCACCCTGGCAAGCTGGGCCAGACTGATTCTAGGCTGGAAAGACCAGAGAGAGAGAGAGAGACCTGAAACCTGTGCCTTTACTGCACTTTCTTAGGGGAAGCACAGAACCTTACCCATGCCTTTACCAGCCCTATGGCAAACCTGAGAAGCCACTTGCTAGACCCCGTGTTCCCCGCAACCCCAGCAATTAATCATAGTGGACCCATCTGGCCATGAGTGGTCAGACTGAGCCCCTTATCTATCTCTAGGTTCTGAGAGTTGACAGGCAAGGGGGTCAGGAAACAAAAGAATTTATTGTAGAGATTGAAATGTAGGGTTCATTTGGACTTTGAGGAGACAAGACCTAGGACCAAGCTCAAAGAATACTATGATGTTGCAGCCCTTTTATTTGTCCATTCGCTCATTCACTCATGTACCAAACAGTTCATGAGCTACTCCTCCACAGAGGGCATCACCACCAGGCATTGTAGAGGATATGGTAGCAAATACTTTTTTGTCTGATGGCCAAGGGGCAAGGATCTAGTATTAATTTATTTTTTAAAAACAAAATCTCTCTATGTTTCCCAGGCTGGTCTCAAACCCATGGGCCCAAATCATCCTTCTGCCTCCATGTCCTAAGTAGCTGGGACTACAGGCTTGTGCCATGATACCTGGCAAGGATCCACTATTAATTGCAGTGGGAGGCAGGACAAGAATATGTGGTCTTCTGTAACACACGGTGCCTACCAGTGTGCTTGACCATTGATGCGCTCAGCCTAGGTACATCTCAGGGAAGAATATTCACCTTATGGGCACAGACCCTATCTCTTTTCCCTTCCAGCCAGTTCACAGGTAAGAACATTTAGTCCCAGGGAACTATGTTATTTCTGTACGTCCCATAATTGAAAAGCAATGCCAGTTACATACAAGGTACAAGAGATGCAGTTCTCCCTCTCATAAAAAGTTTAACAGCTTGAGGCATAAATTTATAAAGAAAATGAAATATCTAAAGTACACAACTTGGAAAAGCTCGGACATATACATATATATAACTCTGAAGCCATCATTGCTAGAAAGGCTCAGTTCTGACCAGGAAGAACAGCAAGTCTAGGCCCCTCACCAAAGTTGCTCCCAGATTCTTTCAAGTTGGACCTGCTTTCCCAGCCCACCCAGCTGAGGGGTAATGATGCTAGACTTGGGTCCCAAATCTCAAATCCACACATTTTGTTTGAACATTGACACTTATTGCTATCAGCCAGTATAGCCCATCCCACGAGCCAAGTAGAGACATCAAAAAGCTGTTCTATAGCTGATTTAGGTAGTTGGGGAGCTCAGTATAGAATACTATGTTCCTTCACAGACACATTAAGTGGGAAGTACTTAGCCTAGACTCTGTTGGCTTCTTACCCCCTCCCCACTCCCAGGAGGATTCAGACTATGTCCTAGAGTCCACTGAAGTCTGTCTGGTGGTTGGTAGGTAAGTGAATGGATTGATTGGCTGGTTGATGGGACCGACTTCATGCCTGCTCTTTGTGTTCATTTTTGAGACCTATCACCTTTCCTGACCCTACTCACAGATCCCCCTGTGGTCACTAAGAAAGAGACTTTAATATAAGTTGGCTTCCAGAGAGCCCAAAGCCAGACTCTGAGAGTTGTCAAGGGCACTCAGTAGTGGTTAGAGGGCACTGTATCTTACGCACTTGCCTTGACCTAGGACAGGCTGTACCAAAGGGAGGAGGGGGAATAAGGAGCCTGAGATGCTCCAGGCCAATCCCAAGATGTCTGTGGTCATCCTGTCCTTTGAAGAGCCGTCTGCCCTGGGTTTGGGTGTCCCCCAGCCTTGCTAGTCTTATATTCTTGGGAAACCTGTTTTGTGGAGACCCACCTGGGGTCTACAACACCAGAACTCACTGCAGAATCCTGTGACTTCTCTAGTCTAACTTAGCTGAATCACTCCCAAGTTCTTGTGGTAGACCTGTTGAGAAATAGCTGTTGGCTTTGAATCCTTCTTTTCATCTTTGTTGTTTCAAAAGTAACATCCCATCACACTCAGTATCCATAATCTGACTCCTGAAGTTTAGAGGCTGGCACCTTGTCATGACTCCCTCAGCTTTGTCTCCCCACTAGTCCTAGTTTTGGCTTTAGCAGCCATGGGTGATTGGACCTGCCCTAGGACACTCTTCTACCTACCAGAGAGATGACATCACTGAGGTGCACAGGTGGGAAGGCTGTAGCTTCCTGAGCATTCTAGTCTAGGTACTCAGGGTCCTTGACTCTTGCTAGGCTTCCTCCACATTTGGGTGTTCACTGACCCCAGTTCTTCCCTGGGTTGGGAATCATCACCATACTCAGCCCATCCAGGCAAATGTTTTTCCAAAGTGGAGAGACAGCAGCACCTGAGAAAACCTTGTCACTGCAAGTGTTCTTTGTGCCCAGACACTCAACCCCTTTAGAGGTGTGCAGAGGCTACGTGCACACACAGCCCAACAGGGCAGAGCAGACTTGCTTCAGCCTCTGTTGCTGACCTGTAAGAGATGCTTTGTTCCAGGGATGTACACCTTCTCCCTGTCTTTGTTGGTTACTGGGGAACCAGCAGGCTCCATGGAAGGCAGGCAGTAGCCTAGTGCCAAGCTAGCAAGGGTCTGAATTCCCAGAAGGGTGACCGTGCATGTGAGAAGCCTGCAAAGATTACTACCGTGTGCAGTCTCTGTTCTGAAAACATTTTTCTTGAAACCAAAGTTTTTTGTTTCAGCTTGCTTTCTTCTTTTGGTTCATTAGGCTGGGATAACCTAAAGTCTGTGTCTAACTTAATCCCCATGTACTCCTTCCTGCCTGCAGATCTCTTTTCTTGTTCCTAGTAATAATATACAGGGAGTCACACACTATGTATGGAAACTTGAGCAGCATAGCCTGTTCCCTACCTCAGTCTCTTGTCTTATAACAAGAAAGTTTAGGCACAGTATGTGTGTGTGTTGTGGGAGGTAGGGTGGACTTGTCTAAGGTTAGACAAGAAGCTAACACTTGAGTGAAACTTAAAACTGGGTTGCCTAACTCCCAGATCAGAGCTCTCAACTGCAGTTGGGCCTAGTATTGTTGGTGTATAGCATTTGGATTCTAGCTCCAACTGTCAATATAAGGATAGAGGTCATTGGCCCAGGTTGGAAGTGTGAGCAGAGCTAAGGGAGTGGGTCAGATGGTGTACACTGTGCTCAGACCCTTGTAGGATGCTTTGACCTTTAGACTCACTGCTCCCTCACCCCTCCAGTGGCTTGAAGCCCACTGAGTAAAGCATACTCTGCCTCTTCCACAGTTCTGGACTCTGTCCACATCTTAGGCATGAGCATAAGAGAACTTGCTACATGAGTTTGGCATTTGGGCAGAATGTTACTCCCTGCCTCTCTTTCTTCCTCAATGGAAGCAAGATAATGGAGCCCAAGCTATGAAAGACAGGATGGGGAGGGAGAGGTCACCTGCTGTCTGCTCTGCTGCTCAAGTGACCATTGCCTGGGTGAGTTTTTACACCAGATCATGCAGGAATGTAGAACATCCTGATTTCATTTTCCAAGAAACTTTAAATTTAAGACCTTTTTTCAAAGAGGTGAGTGATATATCCCTTTGCTCCTCTTTCAGTGGAACCTGGTGTGTGAAGATGACTGGAAGCCCCCGCTTACCATCTCCTTGTTTTTTGTGGGTGTGCTGCTGGGCTCTTTCATTTCTGGGCAGCTCTCAGACAGGTAAGGTATCTGCCTCCTGCAGCTACAGGGCACCATGGCACCAAGCAAGTAGCATGTGCCTGGCCTTGACTTCAGATTGTACTATTCTCTCAGCTGAGGGCCTTATATTTTAAAAGAACAGAAAGCTGTGTCTGGTATAAACTCCATACCAAGTCAAATGGGCTAACATTCTTCGTCCCCTCTCTCTTAACTCTTGCCAAGAAAAGAAACCTAATCTATTTAAGCAGAGTGTATCCATGATGCAGTGACCAATTTTTATGCCATGATTCACTTTTGTACTAGCCTGGCTCACTTTCATTGGGTGATTTGGCACTCTGATGTCCCTGAGATGGGAGAGGCAAATGTTCTTTCTTGGAGATCTGTAGGTGGTACCATGGTGGCTACCTCTGAATTCCCAAGAAAACCAGAATTCTCTGTATAAGGTGAGAGATCTCACCAGCCAGCAGAGGCCCCTTAACTAAGAGGCCTGAGGTTATGCACTTACTGTAAGACAAGAAGAACAAATATTTTGTTTACACATTTGTCATAAGCAGGGTATTGGAATAATTCTAAAACTTCTAAAAAATATATTTTTAGTTGTAGATAGATGGACACAATAACTTTATTTTGTTGATTACATTTTTTCATATGGTGCTAAAGATCAAACCACAACCCAATTCTAAAACTTTTAACTCAGGGTCCATTCTGGCATAGGGTATCCAAAAACAAAAACAAAAACAAAAAAACACTAAAATATGTGCAAAAAAGGGAGGGAGAAGAGAAATTGCACAGAAGATAGAAGGAGACCCTCATTGTTATACAGAATACATGTATGACTATGTGAGGGGGAAAAAAAGAAGTGTGTCACATTAGATTGGGTAGAGAAAGTGATGGGAGGGGAGGGGAGGGGAAGGGGGGAAAGGAAGAACAGCAGAATAAAATATACATTATTATTACTGTATGTATATACGTGACTGTATGACCAATGTGATTCTGCAACCTGTACACTCAGAAAAGTGAGAAATCATATCCCATCTGATTCAAATGTATGATATGTCAAGATCATTGTACTATCAGGTGTAACTAAAATTTTTTAAAAAAAGAAATATGTGCAAAATATTAGGGACTATCTATAAGCTCCCCTACCCACCAAGGAGTCCATTGTGCTATATTTACTTCTCTGAAGCTTCAGGGTCTGTCACAGAACCCTGAAGTTGAAAACAATGGCCTTCAGCAAGTCCTTGGCCACAGTGCCACAAAGAAAACGCCCACAGAATCGGTGTGTCACCCAGGAAAAAGGTTAACCAGCAACCTCCTGGCTGGTTGGGCTCCCATAGAGAAGTTAAGGATGAGAACATCTTCCCTTAGGGTCAATTCTGTTTTATTTTGTGGCACAAATTCAGGGTAATGTTTTGGCATAATTTGCATTTATGGATTATTGTCAAGTCTTTCCTCATGAAAAATTTATGTGAATTTCTCAATAAATCTATCTTTTCCAAAGTGTCATCTAGTGATTAACTGCAGTTACCAGTAAGCATTAAAGAGTTCAATTAGACTATGACCACAGACTGACGATGCTAGCTGGGTCAGAGACATTGGCCCTCATCCAGGAAAGGCCTTCACTTCTCTAGATCTTTTTTCTAGTATTAAGCATTGACTAATTATTTATTGGTTTAACAAACATGTGCCCAATACGTGCCACACTCTGTCATAAGTACTATATGGATTATTTTAGAAAACCAAATAATTGTGTCCTAATAACCCCAGGAAGTAGGAACTATCATTATTCCCATTTTATAAGTGGAGAAGTAAAACATGGGTTAGATAATATATGTGCCCAAGGATATTCAGCAGCTAGGTCAAAGTTAAGCTTTAGACCCAGATAGTCTTGATCCTCCAATTTGTGTGGACTACTGCTCCAAGGCCCTGCTCTCCTAGAACTTACCTTCTAGCAAAGCAGAATGTATCCTACTACTGATGAGAAAATGATTGTTATCCTTGGCCATGGGGAGTGATACCAAGAAGTACAGGGTGCTGCAAAGTGTCTAAAAGGGGAGTCACAGGAGGATTCCCTGAGGAATGAAGCATGAGCTGAGAGTTGAAAGATGAGTAAGAAGGAGCATTTCTGGGCAGGAAGAACAGCATGTACTAAAACCTAGACAGCAGGCTTAGGCCTAGGAAAACAAACGAAAAAAAAAAAAAAAAGTTCTGTGTGGTAGAAACACAGAGAGTAGTATATAAATGAGGGCTCCCAGGCAGGCAGAGTCTGAGCAAAAGATCAAGCACAGCTTAGCACACTATGGTGAGGAGTTTGGGCTTCAGTGACAGAATAGTGTGGTGCTATTGAACGAGTGTAGTGAGCAGATTTGTATTTTTTAAAGATGTGACAACCAGGCTGGTGTTGTGGCTCAGTGGTAGAGTGCTTGCCTAGTATGTGTGAGGCACTGGGTTTGATTCTCAGCACCACATAAAAATAAACAAACAGAATAAAGGTCCATCAACTTAAAAAAAATTTTAAAAAGATATGGCAGCCTTGTGGAGGAAGGATTAAAGAGAAGCAGGAGGGATTGTGGAAAGACAAATTAAGAGATTTTTTTCACAGTAGTTCATGCAAAAGATGACAATAGTTTGGCCTAGGGTGTGGGGGTAGAGAGGTAAAGTCAATAGGATTTGGCTAATGAGTGAGTGGAAGGGGAGGGGAATAAGGTTTCTGGCTGCCTAACTAGGTGAAAGATAGTACCCTTCTTTAAGACAGAGAATGCTGGAAGAGAACTATATCTGCTGGAGATGTTGAGTTTAATCAAAACATACCAATTTGGGGGTGACTACGAGACCCCTAAGTGGAGAAATTGAGTATGTGTTTGGATGTATGGGTATGGTGCACCATGATAAAGGTTCAGGCTGGAGAAGTGTATTTGGGAATTTGTCACATGTAGTTCCCTCATGGGAACCCTAAACATAGACATAAGGGCCAGAGGAGAGTGCAGAGTAAGAAGGGGAGGGTCAGGACCGAACTTAGGAGATGGGGGAAACTCTCTTGGAGTGGAGTGGCAATTGAGGCTCCGAGGACTTGTGTTAATGTGAACAGGGAGGAGCTAGTTCCCCAAGTTCACAGTGGAAAATTGATGTGTTTTTCTGGATCAACTGTGTCATGGCTGAAGTAGATCTTTATGGGTCATCTTAAGAACTTGCTTACCATGTAACACCATGGTCACCTGAGGAAAGTTTCCAAAAGGTCTACTTCCAAGGAAACAAGGGAATCAAAATTCATGAGTATGTGGAGGATCACCTTAGTCTATAGAGAGGCTAACATACTGCATTTCAAACATTTTTTAAATTTTTGGTAGCAGAACTTTCTTTTAAGTAGAATCAGTTAAGTCCAGGAAATGAAATAGTTAAAGTGTGGCTAATCTAACTGTAGCCCCTGCCTTTAGCTCCAAATACTACCCCTCAAGCTTGTCTGTACTCCCAGAGAAGTCCTAGTCCTCTGTGGGATTAACACTTCTGACCTCACCACCTCTAAGCAAGCCAAAGAAATTACCTAAGAGCAATAGAGTCATGCCTTCAACAGTAACTCTTGATATGGGACAAAGGTTTATCCTTCTTTCTGGTGTATTATTAAGTCTGAAGTTCAAGAGCAATTTAAATAATCCTGGGTTGCCAAAGCCTTTTATCTGACATTATTCAGTCATCTTTATGAATCATGAGAGACACAGCACTGAGAAGCACTCATATGTCCTGGTTTTTGTAGAAATGTATGTGTTTACCACTTTGCATACAGCATAAAAGCAAGCTTTTCTAGTTACAGTCCCCAAATGCCAAGGACTGATGCTGCTTAAGAGCTTCCTGGACCTTCTTTTCTCTACCATTTTAGGGAACCTTGGATAGGGAAGTGGGGCAGAGGTTATACCAGTGTGCTGTGTAGTTAGTTTGCTGTCACCTCCCCTTCACTGGTGTGTAGAGCGCCTTCATTACAGAACAATGCAGGTGGAAACCCTTCTCCACCAGGGTTTCTCAACCTAGCTCTATTAATGTTTTCAGCCAAATTATTCTTTGTGGTGGGGAGCTTTTCTAGGCTTTTTAGAATATTTAGCTACATCTCTGGCCTCTACCCATTAGGTGCTAGTAGCACCCCCTGCCTGAATTGTGACAATCAAAACAACAAACAAAAAACTGTTACATTGAGGGAAAACACCAAATTCTCTCATGCAGCTGCAAGGCCTCACGCAGTCTGGTTCCTACTTCCCTCTGAAATCTGGGCATAGATGATGCCAGCCCATGTTTGTTGTGCCTCTCCAGCCACGGTGGTGTGTGTCCTTCTCAGAGTCTATAGTGTTCCCCATGCCACCCCCAGGGCTCCTCAGGATAGAAGGTTTACAATACTCTGGTTCCTGTGACTTTCCTTCATAGCACCTATTAAAAGTTGGTAGATGAAGTATTGTCATAGGATATATATTGGTCTCCCTTCAACACCAGACTGAGTATCTTTGAAAGTTTGGTTTCTATACCCTTAATCCCCTGTTTTCAACCAGCTACTTTCCCTTTGGGACTCATCATTGTCCTGTTGTCAGGGAGACCCTCCCCCAATGCCCAGTCCCCAGCCCCACCCCAGTTCTGGATGAGTGCCTTTTTGAACTTTCGTGGACCTGGGAGCCATTTCTTCAGTGGACCTGGGAGCCATTTCTTCAGTGCACTTGTCTGGGTATGTAATCACATATTCAGCAGTTTGTCTGTCTGTTGATGAAAGTGTGACTGATGTTTTCCTCAAGTAAACTATAAACTCCTCGAGGATAGAGACAGTGCATCTTTTTTTAAGCAATGTTCCCAGTGCCTAGGACAATAGATACTCAGTACACTCACTGAATAAGGTGGGTGTCAGCTAGTGCCCCATAGATGTAAGCTTCCCACTAGATTGACTCTTCCTCCTATTTGTGATACTCTATTTTAAGTAAACCCACCTAAAACAAAACAAAACATTAACTTGTACTTTTTAAATGAGCATAGATAACAGAAAACTATATCGAACAAATGTGTGACCTAAGGAATTATTCCACAAAAATAATCTTGTAACCCTCATGAAAGCAAGCAATAGAACTTTGTTGTTCATCAAGAAGCCCTGTCCAGGTGCCTCATTTCAATTTCAGCACCCTCCCTTACCCATAAGTAACCACTAAACTAACTAGTGTGACTCTTAAAATAACTACTTCCTCATGGAAGAATCCCAAAGACACAATCCCAAATGCCATAATTCCTAAAATCTAAAATCCTGAAAAAAAAAATCACAATTTTAAGATTAAAATCCTGAATGTTGAAATCCTGAAAGCAGAAATCCCCCAAAATAAGATTCTCATTTTAAAAAAAATAGACTGTATAAGAGGAGTAGAAGGCTAATTCTAGGGAAGGGATTTTATCTGGGAAGTTTATACAAGATAACTGCATCACATTGGGTAGAATGAATGACCAGAAACTTGGTGAAGCATTATTTTGGCTATATCTGAGTGTGTTTCCCAAAGATAATAATGTGTGAGTCTGAGTAGACCAAGAGAAAGATCCATAATTAGGTGCTATTTTGAAGTTTTAAACTCCAATAAATTAGAAAATCTATAAGAAATGGATACATTTCTAGACTAGTACAGACCTGCCAAAATTGAACCAAAAGGATTGTTTATAACTAAACAGACCAATAACAAGTAATGAGATCAAAACAGTAATAATAATAATAATAACAACCCTTCCAACAAAGAAAAGCCCAGGACCAGATGAACTCTAATATGCACTCTCCAAGAACTTTAAAGAGGAGCTAATGCCAATATTCCTGAAATTATTAGAAATAGAAAGGAGCCAATCACTTCCAAATTCATTCTATGAAGCCAGTATCACCCTGATACCCAAACCAAATAAGGCTACATCAAGGAAAGAAAACTACAGACACTACAGGTCAATATCCCTAATAAACTTAGGTACAAAAATCCTCAATGAAATATTAGAAAGTTGTATTCAACAACATATTAAGAAGATTATACATCATGGCCACATTCCAGGGATGCAGGAACGGTTTAACATATGCAAATCAATTAGTAGAATTCATAACATAAGTGGAATCAAGGACAAAAATCACAATAGTCATCTCAATATATGCAGAGAAAGCCTTTGACAAATTTCAGCACCCATTCATGATAAAAACACCCAAGAAACTTGGGCCAGAAGGCACTTACTTCAACATCATAAAGGTTTCATATGACAAACCCAAAGCCAACTTCATAGTGAATGGGAAAAAAACTGAAAGAATTTCTTTTAAAATCTAGAACAAGAGAAGGATGAACATTCTCATCACTCTTATTCTATATAGCACTAGAAATTCTAGCCAGAGAAATTGGGCAAGAGAAGGAAATAAAAGAAAGAAAAATATGAAGGAAAGAGATCAAATCATCACTGTTTGTAGATGATATGATTCTTTTTAAAACGTCATTGTGAATGCATGATTTAAGCATAATTGATGTGTTTCAGTCCCCTGCTGTCATCATCATAATTGTGGCACTGCCTTTTGAATGACTGTGGTGTCCAGGCTGCACATTGGTTCTGGGAAGCAGGGAGGAGTAACAGCATGGGGACTGGGAACCTGGGACTGTATGGGCACTGGGTACACTGGCAACACTGCCCACAGCCCCTTCTCTTGATGGAACTCCCCCTTCTGCTACCTATCCCAGCTGGTTCTCTGTGACTCTCCTTTCCTTTCCAGGTTTGGTCGGAAGAACGTGCTGTTTGTGACCATGGGCATGCAGACAGGCTTCAGCTTCCTACAGATCTTCTCAAAGAACTTCGAGATGTTTACTGTGCTGTTTGTCCTTGTAGGCATGGGCCAGATCTCCAACTACGTGGCAGCATTTGTCCTGGGTATGGCCATCAAGTTGGAGTTGAGTACTCGATCCTGTGTTTCACTGTCATCCCACCACCTGCCTTTCTGGAGACAGCTCTGATGTTCCTCAAAGGGAAATGGTCTTTAGCAACACTGGCCAGAGCTTCTTGGTGAACCCAGTTTATCAGCAAGGAAACTAAGCCAGACAAGTGACCAGCCTTGGATCCCCAGTGGCACAATAGCCTGACTTCTGATTTCTGGTTCTTTGCTGACCTCCAAGGTGTGGCACCTTGGTCTTGTTAGTCATTTTTGCCATTTTGCTAGAACTCACCAGAAAACATCCTTTTTATAAAGCCTACCACTACCCAGACTGAGGTAGCTGGAGCAAGATGGAGGCATGCCAGGGAAGTAAGGGCTGTGATGGGCAGGCTTGCTGGGGAAGAGAACTGCCACCTCTGCAGAGCACTGTGGCCAGTGATGTCTGTGGATGAGCATAAATGGGCCTCAGTCACCTTCAGGTTTTGATTCAGAGGACACACTGTAGGATTTTGCTCAGTCCAGCCTGTTCTCATCAAAAAGGTTGTCTGTCTCACTGTTTGGAGAAATCAGACTCCAGCAATAAAATCTTTGAGTTCCTTGGGTTATATTGTTGAAAGGATTATTTTTTCTTTTCACATATAATAGAATATTTTTTCCTCAAAGGATAATAGTCAGCATGTGTGGACTTAGTAATGACTTTGCCTTTAATGGTTTCTTCCTCATATGAGAAATTGAAAGGTGCTAACATGGTATCTTTAGCATATGGCTGAGCAAAGTGGTGACATTTCACAATAGAACAATGGCTAAGGGGCTGAGAGGCCGCAGTGAGGTACTTCCAAGAGTGTGTCAGACTGGACTGGGTTCAAATCCATCTCCTCCCTAGGGCTTGGGAACATAGAAATAATTCTGGCTGCCTCCTTGTCTCTATGTTGAAACTGATACCATGGAAGATTAATAAGAAAATGATCCAAATTAAAGTGCTAACTTCTCTCCTCCCTTGTTTTGATCAGGAACTGAAATTCTTGGCAAGTCAATTCGTATTATATTCTCCACGTTAGGAGTATGCATATTTTATGCCTTTGGCTTCATGGTGCTGCCACTGTTTGCTTACTTCATCAGAGACTGGCGGATGCTGCTGCTGGCACTGACTGTGCCCGGAGTGCTGTGTGCTGCGCTCTGGTGGTGAGTGTGGCCCTGTATTTTCCAGCAGGGTGGCTTCCATCTGGCCTTCACTAGAGGGCAGCAGCAGCCCTCAAATTTGGGCTCCCAGAGACAGGAAGTGTGATTATTGATATTGTTTCAGAGTCTCTCTTCACACTTGGAAGAACCAAAACAAAACAATCCCAAGACATCAATAGACTTGTTCTCAGCCCAGTTCTGGGTTGATCTTAGTGTGGGGAGAAGTAGCTGTGAGAAGCTGGGGTCTAGTGTGATCTCCAGGAAGTTCTCAGACCCCAGAACAACAGAGCCCTGGTTCTAGCTGTGTGTTGCTGGCCTCATCCCTCGGCATGGGGAGAGTGCTCCAAAAGTGATGTCCTCAGGGTGGCCGTGCAGAGGCCATGCAATGTAGACTGGTTGGACAGAGAAGAGGCCATTTGTCAGAGTGAAGAGGAATCACCCTTTAGAGTCAGGGAAGATGAGATTACTGGCCCATGAGGAGTGGAGAAGATTTCAGGGCATAGTGGGAAAGAAAATACCTCATCATGGGACCTAGTTATGTCTCTAGGGCTACCTGGTCTTGGTGAGTGCCAAGGCTCCAGGCTACTCTAGGTACAGAGGCCAAGTATGTTGGATAAGTTAGGGGAAGGGGAAGGAGAAAATAGAGATCAATGGGTCAGTGCAGAAGCTTCTGTGGATGCTAGGGACAGGAAATGAATATAGTAGGGTAAGAACTGGCTGAGCCCTCAACAGGAGCCAGGCTTCAAGATCCCATCTTGTACGTCTTCTTAGAACCAGCAGGGGGCACCACCACTCTTCATAAATGAAGATGGCCAGCCAGTGTAGGAATCCCCTTAGCCTGTGCAGGGCCCTCCAAGTTTTATACACCATAGCCTACCCTAGAGCTCGCACCTCAGGTTTACTGGGTGTGGACCATCTCTTTATTTCTGATTTGTGAACATCTAACACTCTACAAACCTAACTTTGGATCTGAAAACTCATTTCCCTCTTCCAGTTATGCCATACTGGTCTGTTGGGCAGCTGTTGGGCAAGAGGCCTCACTGAGATTGTATTTGTACTTCTAGGTTTATCCCTGAGTCCCCTCGATGGCTCATCTCTCAGGGACGATACAAAGAGGCTGAGGTGATCATTCGCAAAGCTGCCAAAATCAATGGAATTGTTGCACCCTCCACTATCTTTGACCCTAGTGAGGTAAGCACCATGTGGGAACTAGTGGGGGCTATGCTGGTCATGATTTGAGGATGGTAGCACACAGCCCAACTTGAGCCCTACGTCTCCCTGAGACATGCCCTGTTTTAATACTCATTAGTTGAGAAATAGTTTCCAACTGCCTAACATGTTTCTCCTTTCTCATGGTTTTTAGGTTTTCATACATTTTACTTTCTAGGCAATTATATAATAAAATAAATAAAATACATCCTTTATGAGAAATAGACTTTACACAATGTCAGCATTTCAGGAAATCATTGTTTCTCATGCCTAAGGTGATTTGTCATCATAAAGGTAATCCAGCACATAGCATTAAAAAAAACACAACTAGATTTGCCGTTGGCAGTGTTCAGCCTCTTTTCACCCTCAGTGGTTAGTTGTTGCATATCATTTTGAAGCCAGGTCCCTTCTGAAGTCCATCTCTTCCTTCTCCACTTTTCTGCAAACCCTGTTCTCACACACCATGAACACTTCTTGGCTCTGCCTTGTTCCTAGTTCTTGCTTTTCCTTCCTGTTCCCTCTCCTTCTGCCCTTCTGCATCAGACATTTCCCTCAAACTCATGAGTACAACAAGAGGTTAGGATCTATAAATGCTGACTGATATGGTTCTGGAATCTGTCTGTGGTCTGACAGGAAGACTAGGGACTGGCTGTGGGAAGAGCCTCAAGCAATCATGCTGAAGTGTGAGCAGCCGGCGGGTTAGAGACTCTCGGGACTCAGGATGCAGACTCCAGGCTCAAGAGAGACCAGTTATAAGAGGCCAGTGGCCAACAACAGCCTTGATGGCGTCCAGCTGAAGTGGTGGCTTAGCAACAGCTCTCACTCAGCACATATTGGAAAGGGCTCTGGAGCAGAGGTTAGGGCAGGAGTGTTTCACAGAAGGCTTTTAAATGAGTTGGCCTTGGTGACTTTTAAGTGAGGAACCAGTCTCTGTGAACCCATGAGCCCCACTGGCATCTCTGAGGAAATGAGGCTATTTCAGGGGATCCTTTAAGTCCAAAGTTGACCTTTTGTTGAACTGCTAACTTGGGAAAAACAAGCTCCAAAGCTGGGTTTGCTTAAGAAAGCAACATCAGTATGTTTAGACATGTGGTTTATTAATGGCCTTGGCTGTGCTGAATTTCATAGGAAGTTACTCTGGGTGAAGCTCAGGTCAATTTTCCTGTTTTTCAATTTGAATTTTTTCCCCCTGGAAGCAGACCAGTAACTACATGGTAGGAGGACTCAAAACATGAATCTTTTTAAAATGTCATATCAATAAACTGCACAGCCAGTTTCTCTCTCTGACCCAGAGGGCAGGGAGCCAGCCTTAGGAAGGAATGCTTAGAGGCCTCCCTGGAATGTGGCCACTGATGGGTGGATGGGGATGGTGCAGCAAGGGAACTGTCTGCTTGGGCGTCCGACTTCACTGGGCTCTTTGAGGAACTGGTCACCTCCCTTTACTCCTCATTTTCATTGTCTTTGTTATTGACAAAGACCTGAGGAAGACTTAGCATCCCCAAATCGTCACTATGCTACTGTTCTTTTCAAGAAAGAAAGATACCACACTCCCTAACTCTGAGAAGCAAGACAGCTATGATGCCAGGTTTACGTTATGTTACTGTATGTTCTGAGTCTCCAACCTTCTTTCCTTCCCATGCCCCCAATCATATTGTCCCTGCAGTTACAAGACCTACGTTCCAAGAAGCAGCAGTCCCACCGCATCCTGGATCTGTTCCGAACCCGAAATATCCGAATAGTCACTATCATGTCCATAATCCTGTGGTGCGTAAGTGAGACATACCTGAGGCTTCGGTAAAGGAAGGCAATCAGCTTCTGGAGGTGGCTCTTGAGCCTCTTATTTGCAGATGTGCCTCAGATCCAAATTGAGACTGTGTCATCAGAAAATGAAAGGGATGTGTCCTGTGATGGATGGAAGAAATGGGCATGTCATAATTCTTAATGTGATAGAACCTCAGAAAAAGAGAATGAAAACTATGGTGGAGGCTGTTTGAGAACTAGGGACCACTGGGGATCTCCCCACATCCTGAGGTGAATCATTGCTTACTTCGCATCCTTGCTTAGTAGTTGTTGTCCCCTGCTCCCTTCTACCAACTCACAGATAATGTCTGAGCAGGCCAGATGGGGCTTTTAAGAAGGATCTGAGTGAAGACACATTGTCTTTTAAGACTACAGAGATGTCTAAGGACTTTCTGGAAATGTGGAAGTGGGATATGCTCCTCCTGGGATGTTCAGAGACTATCCTGGAGTCAGGGCCATGGCCTAAATGTCCTCACCAGATCCCATCTAACAAGGCACTTCATGAAGAGTCAGGAAGGAATGTGTGAGTTACCAGAGAGAAGGAACACATCTGAGAGTCTAGACAGCTTTTTTCTCATATCCAGACCCTGGGATTAAAGGAGACTCCAAGCCTCCTGGGTGAATAGTATAGTAGGATGGGTGAGGAGGGCAGAGGCAGACTTCATTTCTGCACTCCATTGCAGGCTGATCATTGCAGTGGGCTACTTTGGACGTTCCCTTGATGCTCCTAATTTGCAAGGAGACATCTATGAGAACTGCTTTCTTTTGGCAGTGGTTGAAGTCCCAGCATACGTGTTGGCCTGGCTGCTGCTGCAACATGTGCCCCAGTGCTCTTCCATAACCACTGCTCTCTACCAACTAGCTTTGGGGAGCCCGTCATTTTGCTCACTGGGATGCACTATGAGTCACCCGTTTCCAAGGAATGGTCCATAGTCCCCCAGGGCAGGGCACTGCTTCCCAGGTCTGCCTCAAGACAGAACTAGCGTGTAGCCTGCACCTTAGACATGCCAACCCATGATGAGTCACCCGCTTTGTGGTTTATCCAGCCACTCCTCCCTTCTCTAAATTTCCCAGGAACTGTGGACATACTCTTTTCCTTCATGGTAACAGCATAAAGGTCTGGGTCATCAACAGAGAATGCTTAATGAGGAGAGGGCCCAGTAAGGGCACAGGAAACAGTGGAGGACATGCAGATGAGAAGCTGTGGCCCCACCATCTCTCTCCCTCTTATCTCCACAGTACAGTGGGGGTGGTGCCAGTTGCCTCTGACCAGGCCCTTACTGGATGGTCACCACCAATCATCTGCTGGAGGTCTTTCTCCAAATATTTTATCTAATGATGCACTTTATTGATATTATCTTTCCAATCCTGTCGCTCCTGACTTGGTGTCTATTGCCTTACTCATTCCCTAGCTCCTTCTGCAGTTGCTAGGTTTGGAGAGGTTCATAGAATAGGGAAATAGGCTTTTCTAAAGTCTTCATCTCAGGGGTTTTGAGGCTGAAATGCAGGCTGGAATATTTCTTTTAGTGAGGTAAATCTGGTCCTTTGGCTGGGACCCTTGGTATTTGGCATACTCTCAAAATGCATGAAACAGGAACTTACCATTGTACCACTTGGGCTGGGGGGAGTTATCTTTTCTTCTGCGAAGTAAGGTTTGGGGTTAAAACTGCTGCCTTCCTAGTCTCTGCTTAGGGTAGTTTGGAACGTCCTGAAGTAATTGCATTTTTCAAGTTGTGCAGGTGGGAGAGTGGATACTGCTTCTCCAGCTTTCTTCTGCACTCCATTGCAGGCTGACCATTGCAGTGGGCTACTTTGGACTTTCCCTTGATACTCCTAACTTGCATGGAGACATCTATTTGAACTGCTTTCTTTCGGCGGTGGTTGAAGTCCCAGCATACGTGTTAGCCTGGCTGCTGCTGCAACATGTGCCCCGGCGCTATTCCATGGCCACTGCTCTCTTCCTGGGTGGCAGTGTCCTTCTCTTCGTGCAGCTGGTGCCCCCAGGTAGGGAACATATGCATCAGCACTCTCGGGTCTTCATTGAGTCACCCACTCTCTACCAGGCTACCTTCCTTAGTTAATTCAGAGAATAAAATGAAGCCCATCATAGATCCCCTGCATATATGCATCCTTAGCCTGAAAATCAATAAAAAGTACCTAGTGAGACCAGAACATTCTTTATGGCCAGGAATTTGAAGGAATGGGAAGGAACACCCATTGAAGCTGTTGGTTAATTTTACTCTAAATCCAGGTTAATGCGTTTATATTCATTTTCCTCTCCAGAATGGTGGGGGGGGGGCATCCCCATTACTTTTCCCAGCCCTGCTTTATTTATTCAACCAATGCTGTGGAGCACATACTGTGGGCTAGGCACTGGGCTTGGTACTAATGATACAGATGTAAACTAGTGTCCTCAGGAAGCCCACATCCTAGTTGAGAAAACATAAAAGGCTCTTTATTCTTCAGATTGTCTTACCTCCTATGAATAAAAATAAAGTATAGTGGGGAGCTAGTTTACATAAGAGTGGTCATGAACAGCTGCCTAAACAGGGGGCAGTTCAGCTATGAGAAAGTCCAGGAGAACATTTCAGGAAGAAGAGACAAGCAAAGACGGGTTAGGTAGTGAGCCTGGGGTGCTTGAGTGAACTAGTGAGAACTGAGAGGCAGAGAGGAAGAGGAGGTCCCAGAGGTCATGGTTAGGATTTTCTAAAATTGTCTTCATATCTTACAGATTGGTGGGAGGAGTCCTTTCTGACCCATTTTAGGAGAGTCAGTGGGCCCTCATCTGTCCATCGCTATGCCTGGAGTCCTCAGTGCACCCATGGGCTTGGGATCCTCTGGTAGTCACTTTAGGTCCCATCAGGCTGGGACCTTCTGCATAGGAGCAGAGAATGTATTGTGGAGCCCCAGAATGGATGTAGAGGTTCAGATATGAGCTCAGAGGGACCCTCATGTCTCCTTAGATAGCAAGAAGGATAGATTGGAGTATCATCCCAAAGTTCAGATGATTTTTAAATGTTTTTGAGGTCTGAGTAGAATGAAACCATGAAATGAGTTAGAGTTGAGTTCTCCACTTATCTAGAATCATTAGTTAATTCTGCAGCACCTGCAGTCTGAAGTTCTGGAGTGACAGAAAGACAGCTCCCCAATAGACATGTCTGTAATGACTTCTGCACTAGAAGGCAGGTCGATTAGGCTGTGAAGAGCTTAATCTGGTTGTTTCTAAGTTGAGGACAGTGTATATCTGCATAGTTGTAGGTCCCCAGTCTCCTTTCAGTAACCACCTTGGGGTGAAATCTTGGGTATGGCCCCTTATCTCAGGAAGTTATAGAAACTGACCCCAAGGCAAAAAAGGAAATGGAACTCTCAACAGCAGCATAGCCTAAGTTGGTGTCTACTTTCTTTCTTTGCCCCTCCAGACTTGTATTACTTGGCTACAGTCCTGGTGATGATAGGGAAGTTTGGCATCACTTCTGCCTTCTCCATGGTCTACGTGTACACAGCTGAGCTATACCCCACAGTGGTCAGAAACATGGGTGTGGGAGTCAGCTCCACAGCATCCCGCCTGGGCAGCATCCTGTCTCCCTACTTTGTTTACCTTGGTAAGTTCCCTGGGCCAAGGGCACACTGGAGTGATGGGACAGAAGCACTAATTGGCTTTAATGTGAGCTGGAGATGGCTTGCTCACAGGAAAACAAGCACACAGAGCACATGGGATCCATCCAGTATGGATCTATGGTTGGGGAGGGATCATGTCCCAGGGCACTGTGGGGGAAGCTCTCGCTTCCAAACAGAAAACTACCTATAGAGTAGTTAAAAAATGGATGAGAAAGAGGACTTTGCTTCTGTTTTGGACACACAGGCCCTCCATCAGAGAGCGTAATTTCTTTATCCTAAGAATCATCAGAAAAGTTTAGGGAGCCAGAGTACTTAACTGGGGATATTTCTTCTTGGGATCAGGAAAGATGAGGGGAAAGATGTTCATTCAAGGAGTGTGATACACTGAGGATCATTGTAGCTTGGAGCGCTTAACACAGGCTTGTGTCACTTTATGTGGCTGTGCACCAGTTTTCTCTTCCTCAGAATTATTTCCTCATGGCAGCTGCTGTTTCCCTGCACATCCCTAGCCAGCACACCTTTGGAGAGAACTGGCATCTACCCTGAGAATACCCAGAGTGCTCTGTGAGCATGTGGCATAGACCTAATAAGAATAAATTCTTTTTGCCTCACCTGAAGGCAAATCAAACAGGTTGTGGCACATCTGCAGAGGTGGCAGAGTTATTCCTATCCCTGGACAAGTACCTCGTGTTCCTTGGAAACACAGCATTGAGAAATAGACTAATCATCATGGCTTGGCTTCTCTGCTCCCCTGAATCTCTCCCTGGCACCATGGGGGCACGGCTGGCCCTCTGAGCATGCCTGTGCCAGCTGTGGGTTCTTATAGTGTCTAGGTACAAGATTCCAATCTGGCATCTCAGGCTGTGGGAAGGGCTGAGTCCAGCAAGGAAGGTGACCCCTTTACAAGTCCTAGAAGTGAAAAAGAATAGAGGTAGACCAAGTCTCACTGCAGCCTGGGGCTGGGGCTTCTGTCTGCTCTGCCACAGGTGCCTATGATCGCTTCCTGCCCTACATTCTCATGGGAAGTCTGACCATCTTGACAGCCATCCTCACCTTGTTCTTCCCAGAAAGCTTTGGCAGCCCTCTCCCCGACACCATTGACCAGATGTTAAGGGTCAAAGGGTAAGGAGACCTCCTTCCTCACAGTAAGGATGTACTGGGTCTGGGCCTGGTCAGCCCCTTGAAGTGGAGTCCCCAGCAGACTTTCTCTCACAAATACCTTGGGCCAGATTAGCCATCAGAGGGTTATGAATGGCAATAATCTGATCCTGTGTGGACATGTCTCCACACACATTGCCAGGGCAACAGCAGCTTTGGGACAGTGCAGAGACTAGGAGAAAATATCTCAGATCTGCTGTATGATTTTTCTTTCCCAGTGAGGTTATCCTCATTTCTGATGTATTTGTTTGTTTTGAGTCTGATAGGCTCCTTTTTCAGATTTGTTCCTAACATTTGTTTTGCTTATTTTAATAGAATAAAATATAGGCAAACCCCAAGCCAAACAAGAATGTTAAAGGATGGTGAAGAAAGCCCCACAATCCTTAAGAGCACAGCCTTTTAACACAACCTCCAGTGAGAGAGGAACTGAAAAGGAAAGCCTGCATCTTGTCAGAAATGGCTGTGCAGACTCCGAGTCCAATAGTGACAAATGCTTTTGCTGTTTATTCTGTTGACCCTGTGTCTGGTTTGCTCGTGGATGAGCATCATACGCACTCACAGGATGCATATATAGGATCCTGGATATATACGGTTCCTCCAGGGACACCATGGCTACCTACAGACAACTTGTGTATGTCCTAACTATTACAGTGATAGACATGGCACTTCCTAAGAAGCCGATGGCTCACTAGATCCTGTAGGATTTGGAAGAATACAAGAGGCATCTGCTAGATATATATTTTAATCTTGGACTACCTGAAAAGGCCCCTGATAAAATGGAGGTCTGAGTTTTCTCCCTTCTTTCCCTACATGATGAACTTAAGAGGAAAAAAATATTCCACAGGGGAAGTTTGATTTCTCACCTTTTCTCAGTTACAGAGGACATTAACTGGGATGTTGCATCCCCCGGTAGGGAGGAGCACAGGCTTTAGGGAAATGTAAATATGATTCAGATGAAGAGTTCTGAGCAGATGCAGAACATGGGCAGGTGATTTGTGACCACACTATGACTGCTGGGCAGGCTTGTTTACATCTGATCAAAGCACTGGGCTTGTCAGGCCCATAAGTCTGCTCTCTGTGTTTTCTACTGCTGTGTAAATCAAGCCTCCTCACTACTAGAGCTTCTTATCTGTGGTTTGAAGGAAGTGTATCAGTGAGAAATTGTCTCCCCTCTCGAAACTGTATTGAGAGGTTTTGTTGTTTTTGTTTGTTTGTTGTGTCTTCTCCTTCTTAAGTTATTTGCCCTTCAGCAAACACCTGGGAAAGGCTACTTCTTTAGCTTCCTGGCTTGTGCCCCCAACCACTGTACAAGGCCTTACCAGCCTTAGCCACTAGCACTTCTCTGAGTGCCAAAAAAAAAAAAAAGATGTGATTGTATGTGTTCCTCTTGTGGTACCTAATCATGGGGAAAATTACAAGAAAGAATTGTAAATCACATTCACAATCTTTCAGAGTTGCTCAGTTTAGTCACATAACATTATTGGGAGATATTTTGTGTTCAATGTAATTGTCTTTTCTAATTATGTTACCATGGTACTCCTAAAGCATATGTTTCACCTGGTTTTTTTAAAAAAATGTATTTTTGTGAAAGCTACTGAAGTGCCTTGGGAAATTAAGAAAGTTTTAATAAATAAAATGATTTTTTAAAATAATAGCAATTACCTACAATCTTGTTTTCCAGAATTTGGTGAGCCCTTGCCACATCAACACCTAACTCTTCTTTCTGTCATTTTGGGCTAATTCTGACAATGGTTCAGGATTAGACTATAAGGTTAAGATCTAATCCCTGTGTACTAGAAATCTGTACTTTAGTCTGTGAACCGCATCAGCCTTCCTACACAGTGTCTTCGCCTGGGTTCCCCTGAGACCAGCATGTCTGTGCATTTAAATTGTCAGAGAACAAGATTCCAGGGAACAGGAGTAAAGGACAGAGGAGAACCAGGAGGGAAGGAGGCCCAACACTGGGCTATATTATCAGATTGGCCAGTGCCAAGGGCAGGCGTGTTCCAGTCAGCCAGAACTTCTGAGGAGGACTATAAAATACACCTAAAAACCACCTGTACCACGGACAAAAGAAGGAAGTATTTATCTTTTACACCCATCCATCAAAGGCTGAGCCACAGGTGTCAGCGCTTCACATTTCCAGGTGTGATTTGCAAACAGATTCTGTCTCTTGGGTAGAAAGCAAGAGGTGTGGCATCACAGGAGGAAGAGATCCATCCGCCCCCCCACACACACACTAATCCTACTGTACCTCTGTGAAGTTGGTCAGAGCTTGTGTGAACTAGTCCCTTTAGGAGGGGCTAGAGTAAGTGCTGTGGCAGAAAGGTGTCTCATGTCTGTATTCGGTTTGCCAAAGGGCACTTTACACTAGAAAGTGTGGATGGACCTGGGTAAAAAGTTTGACTGACAGGGCCTGTTACATAACTATCTTCAGGCTGAGGTCAAAGGGAAGCTTAGCCCATCTTCTGGAACACTGTTGGCTTCTTTACTCTCAAACCTGGTTCTGTGCTGGGTCCCTGATTAGTTCACTTCACAGGGGCTCCAGGTTCTGAATTACAGCCCTTCCTGCCCTTTCTCCTGCTGCATGAGTGAACAGTTTCTGCATTTACTCTGATCCTTGTCATTCATGGCCTTCTGAGGGCAAAAACCATATTGCCTGAATGCTTTGAGCTCTTCCTTTGAGCATTAGCTCTCAGCATTAGCCCTCAAGTCACTGCTCCCAAAGTTGAACCAAGTGGCTGAAAATCCAAACCCAGTTTCTGAACCTGCTGGACTCTTGTGTGCTTGTTTCCATCAGAGCCATGACCTTGGGAAGACTGATCAGATTATTTTGGTGAGGGGATCTCCTCTCAGAGAGATACACATAATGCATAGCTATAGGGACTGATCCAGAGCCTGATGAGGTACTCAGTTAATACCCATAATAGCCGGAAACCAGCATACCCTTGTAGACAGGAGGAACAAGAAAAGAACATGGTGGAACAACTCAGATTAAAAAAGAAAAAGAAAAGGTTCTCCACCATAGATCAAAGCAAAGGCAAGGGTTTACCCCATTATCTTCCTAGTCTTGTAACAGAGTAAGAAGCACAACAAAATTTTCTTTTAGATGTTTGTGTTCAATTACTTTCCTAAAGGACTTTGAAGCTGATAGAAAAAAAAGCTTGATGTTGTGCATTAGCAATACCTCGTGGTGTGCACTACTGCTGTAAAAGCATTTTGAGAAAATACATCTATTTTCTCATTTAATTCTCACAGAAATCTCATAAAATTGCTAGAGGATAACCAGGATGGCAGAATCACAAGTTTTTCAGCAAAAATCATTTCTCTTCCTGGAGTCCTTAAGCTTTAATCTCAGAGACAGAGTTCTACAAGAAACCATTAAGGACACTGGGACATAATCTCCCAAAGCATCGAGGCACCTGACTGGCTCTTTACCCACAAAGTGGTAAAAGAAACTCTTCTTATCGATGTACAGAGGAGATTAGCTGCTTGATCCAATTGTATGAGGTCTATAAGAAATTCAGTTTATATTCAAAGACATGAGAAAGTTGAAAAGATACTCTGCAAAACAGTTAACCAAAAGAGCTTACATGGCTAAACTAATGTCAGACAAGTAAACTTTAACACAAAAATTGTTACAATGGCAAAAACCACTATATTTTTTTTAAAAAAGTCAATCTGTCATTAAGATATAAAATAATAAATATAATGATTACCTCAATACATGAAACAAATTGAAAGGGAAAATACACAGTTAATAACAGTAGACTTCCACACTCTACTTTCAATGATGATAGATAAAACAACTAGACAGAAGTGATGGAAGCCACCCATGAAATGTCCGTGAGCTCAATTGGCTTGGAAGCCATTGGGTAGGAAAGTTTGGTATCTGGGAAACTCCAGCAGCACTCCTGCTGGTTTGAGATCACCCAGTACTTGTGATCCTACCTAGCTCTGCCAGGTTCAGCATTGTTCTGGGGTTGGGGTGACCAGCTGGAACTACACAGCCACACAACCTCTCAGAGATGGGTGTGGCTTGCCAAGATGCCAATCAAGCTGTTTGCTGTAAGTGCCCTGCCACACTGAGAAGCAAGATGACTCCTCCTGCTGAAACCTTATCCTGCCTTTGATGGACTCCCTCTTAAATAAAGGACTGGAGCCATTTTCTAGCTGTTCAGTTCCAGCTCCTGTGTGGACTGGATCTATCAGGTGCTCTGCTTCCTTTAAATCTAATTTCTGGATCTGTCTCTTATTTCTTTACTAGACTTTCATTTTCTCAGGTGGCTCACAACCTTCTGATCAGGAAACTACCCTGGCAGGGTGCTGGCTGCCCTGCCATACAGAAGATCAACAAAGAGAAGATTTTAAGTACACTATACACCCACTAGACTTACCAGGCCATAAAGAAACCTACCCAACAACAGCAGAATTGCACAGTCTTCTCAAGACAACATGTTTGGCTACAAAACAAATCTTGAAGATTTTTAAAAGATTAAAATTGTACAGTGTTCTTCTCTGAGCACAATAAAATGAAACAAAATCCATGAAAGAAGGAAATCTATTAAGTTCACAATTACATGGAAATTAAAGAATATACTCTTTAACAACAAATGGAAGAAAACACAGGGAGTGGGTCAAATAGTAGAGAAAATCAACCAAAAGTTGGTTCTTTGAAAAGATCAACAAAACTTACAAACCTTTAAATTAGACTGACCAATAAGAAAAGAAAGAAAACACAGATTATGAAAAAGAAAGGAATGAAAGCAAGGAAATTACTACTGACCTTACAGAAATAAAAAGGATTATTAAAGGATACCAACTAACTGCCAATAAACCAGATAACAAAGACAAAATAGGAAAATTCCTGGAAACATAAAAGTTACCAAAACTTACTCAAGAAAAAATGTAGAAAATCTCAGTAGACTTGTAACAAGAAAAAAAAGGCTGTATTTATAAAAATAATTTTTAAAAAGCCCAGGGCCAGATAGATAGCTTCTCTAATGAATACCACCACTTAAAGAATTAACACGCATCCTGAAAGTCTTCCAAAAAAAAAGGAGAGAACACTTTCTAACTCATTCTATGTAGCAAACATTCCCCTGAGACCAACACCAGGTGAAAACATTAAAAGAAAAGAAAACTTTAGGCTAATATTCTTTATGAACACCAGATGCTAAAATACCAACAAACAAATCTAGTAGCATATAAAAAGGGATTATATATCATGACCAAGTGAGATTTATCCCAGGAATACAGCATGACTCAATGTACAAAAATCAACATAATACACTACATTTATAGAATGCAAAAAAATCATTTGACAATACCCAACACCCATTCATAATACCAATACCCTTTCACAATAAAAAAAGCTAGCAAACTAGAAATAGATTTCCTCAACATGATAAATAGTATCTATCAAAAAACCCACATCATAGTCAATGATGAAGCTAATCATTTTGTAATAATTGATTACAAAACAAAGATGTTTGCTCTTGCTACTTATATTGAACACTGTGCTGGAAATTCAAGCCACAACAATTAGATAAGTCAAAGAAATAAAAGATATCCAAACTGGACGCTCATAAATATCTGGTGGGACTGAAAAGTGGTGCAACCACTCTGGAAAGCAGTATGGAGATTCCTCAGAAAACTTTGAATGGAGCCATCATTTGACCTAGCTATCCTACTCCTTAATTTATACCCAAAGGACTTTAAAATCAGCATACTATAGTGATGTGGCCATATCAATAACTGTAGCAGCTCAATTCACAATAGCTAAGCTATAGAATCAACCTATGTGCCTTTCAACAGATGAATGGATAAAGAAAATGTAGTATATCGGGGCTGGGGATGTAGCTCAAGCCATAGTGCGCTCGCCTGGCATGCGTGCGGCCCGGGTTCGATCCTCAGCACCACATACAAACAAAGATGTTGTGTCCGCTGATAACTAAAAATAAATAAATATTAAAACTCTCTCTCTCTCTCTCTCTCTCTCTCTCTCTCACTCTCTTTAAAAAAAAATGTAGTATATCTACTCAATGTAATATTACTCAGCCACAAAGAAGAATGAAATTATGGCATTTACCAGTAAATGGATGGAACTGGAGACTTTCATGCTAAGTAAAATAAGCCAATCCCCCAAAACCAAAGGCTGAATATTCTCTCTGATATGTGGCTCCTAACGCACAATAAGAGTGGGAGGAGGGAAAATAAAAGTTCATTGGATTAGACAGGGAAATGAAGAGAATGAAAGAGGATGGGAATAAAAACACAGTAGAATGAATCAGACATAATCTTGATGTGTTCATATATGAATATATGACCAGTGTAATTCAACATCATGCTCAACCACAAGAATGGGGAGTTATAGTCCATGTATGTATAATATGTATAAAATACATTCTACTATCTTGTATAACTAAAAAGAGCAAATAAAAATAAATAACAAAACTTTTTTAAAAAGATATCCAAAGTGGAAAGGAAGAAGTAAAGCTACAATAACCAAGACAGTGTGGTACTAGCCTTAAGACAGATATGCAGACTAATGAGGTAAGAGAGGTCCAAAAATAAACTTTCACATATATGATCAAATGACTTTTTTTAAAAAAAAAAGATGCCAAGATCATTGAACAGAGATATACTACATTCCTTTATCCAATATATAATGCTGGGAAAATTTGGTATTCATACATTAAAAAAATAATGTTAGACCCTTATTGTATTCTATAGGAAAAAAATAACTCAAAATGGATTAAAAATCTAAATATAAAAGCTAAAATTAGAAGACTGGGGAGAAAAACATAGGAGGAAAGCTTCATAGCATTGGATTTGGCAATGATTTCTTGGCTATAACATTAAAATCAAAAGCAACAAAAGAGAAAACAGATCACTTGAACTTCATCAAAATTAAGAACGTGTGTGCATAAAAGGACACAGCATAATGAAAAGATAACCCATGGAATGGGAGAAACTACTTGCAAATCATGTATCTGACAAGGAGTTAGTATCCACAATATGTAAAGAACTCCTGTAACTCGGGGTAGGGTTGTGGCTCAGTAGTTGAGTGCTCACCTAGCACGTGCAAGGCCCTGGGTTCAATCCTCAGCACCACATAAAAATAAATAAAATAAAGGTATTGTGTCCAACTACAACTAAAAGATAAATATTAAAAAAAAGAACTCCTGCAACTCAACAACACTACCAAAAGAAAGAAAACTCAATTTTAAAGTGGGCAAAAGATTTGAATAGGTACACACACAAAAAAAGATGAATTTTACAAGAGCAATACACATATGTTCTTAAACATTAAATTTAAGTTACCAATGAATCCTTTTTAAAAGAAACTATAAAATCCAGTAAATTTATAAATAAATACATTTGTAATCCATTAAAACACATAAACTCACTGTGTTAGTCAACTTTTCATCACTGTGACAAAACACCTGAGAAAATCAACTTAAAAGAGCAAAGATTTAGGGGCTGGGGCTGTGGCTCAAGCGGTAGCGCGCTCTCCTGGCATGCGTGCGGCCCGGGTTCGATCCTCAGCACCACATACAAACAAAGATGTTGTGTCCACTGAGAACTAAAAAATAAATAAATATTAAAAATTCTCTCTCTTTTAAAAAAAAAAAAGAGCAGAGATTTATTTTGGCTTACAGCGTCAAAGGTTTCAATCATGGTCACTTGGCCCCACTGCTTTGGGTCTTTGGTGAGCAGAACATCTTTGGTGGGGAGCATGTAATGGAGCTGAGCTGCTTATCTCATGGCAGCTGGGAAGCAAAGAAAGGAGAAAAGAAGGGGCCAGGGACAAGATATACCCTTCTAGGGCATGCTCACAGTGACCTACTTCCTCTAGGCTTCACCTCCTCCTGCTTCTACTGTCTCTCAATAGCCCATTCAATTATGAAGCCATTGATGGATTAACACATTGACGAGATCAAAGCCCTCATGATCCAATCACTTCCCCAAAGCCCTATCTCTGAACATTGGTGCAATGGGGACTAAGAACCTAACACAGGCTAAGCCTTTGGGAAACATCCAAATCCAAACCACAACATTCACCTGACAGGCTCTACATTTCACCTTGAGATGGGCAGGGCTGCCTGGAGCATGCAGTTGGTGAAAGAAATGTTATTGACCTCCTAAAGATTTGGTATTCAAATACTCCTGTAGGAATCACAGTTTGTGTTCAAACCTACAGAAGGAAAAGCCAATAGGGAACCTAAAGAGTTCTGCCTGAACCCAGGTGATTTTCAGTCTTCTGGCAACTGAATCTCAATGACAGGGCCATTACTTGCCACCCAGCTCTCCAAGGAGACCTTGAGCAGAGAGGCTGAATTCAAAGAGAAGAGAGTGCCTTTTGGAGTGCTAGCTTCTTTCTATTACACAACGGGAAAGATTTCCAACCATGCTGCCAATTAGGTAAATAGATAAGACCTGTCCTCAGGAACACCCAAAAATGATGACTCCTCTTTTCCCATAAAACCTGGGCACCCCCTGGCAAAATTATTTGCTGTTGATGGCTAAGAAACAATTACTTGTTCCCTTTTGATTTTTTTTAACACCTCCTCAAGGAAGTTAAAGGGCACCTTTTGCTATTGCTAGGTTGTATTTTTCTAGGGGGGAAATAGTTCTAGTATTGAACTCTAAACTGAGGTTTAGAGGTCATACATGAAATAAGAATTTGAAAAATAAGACCAGACCCTAACCCACAGGGAGGACACAGTCAATAGCTTAGTACCCAAGCACAAGCATGTCTTTAAAATGGGAAAGTAGACATGGAGGTTCCTTGTCTGCCTGACACCCAGGTGGGCAACCAACATGTGCAGAATTGAAACCCTCCAAAATTCTGTCCTCTTCCAAGCTTCTCCAGCTCAATGCACCATTGTGTCAGTGTAGGTCCTCCTAGAGAAGACACCAAGATAGAATTAAATGTTTAAGAGTTTACTGGGGCTATAGTTGTAGCTCAGTGGCAGAGTGCTTGCCTAGCATGTGTGAGGCACTGGGTTTGATCCTCAGCACCACATAAAAATAAGTAAATAAAATAAAGGTATTTAAGAACTTACTAGGGGAAACAGGAAGGATAAACAGAAGCAGAAGCAGAACTAAGCAGAAAATGACTCTGGCCAGAAGGGAAGAAAAGAGAATGGGGTAGAAAAACTCTCAGCCTGCAGAGAAGTTCTGAGAAAGTGCTGCCCAAGCTGACTGGAAGTCTTCCCTTCTTAGGGAAGTTCCGCCTGTTAGTTCCTCTTTACAGCATCAAGTGCTCTTTGTGTCATTAAGGATGGAATTATATACTTGACTATTTGTCTAATTTCCTCACTAAGGTGTGTTTTCTGAGGGCAGAGATCACATTTAGTTTTGCTCATTATTGAATCCCCAAGCCTTAGCAAGTGACCACCCTTTGTAGTTGCCACAGAATATTTGTTGCGTGAAAAAAAAATTACTTGATTTTTTTCATTTTTATTTGCATTGTCAGGTGTAAAGTTAGGCATTCTGATTTTATAGAACAGTACTAATCAACTCGAGAACAATGAAAATCAGATGAAATTTTGATTCCACAAAGTAAAGGACCAAATTCTGATATTGAGAAATCACCCAGATGGGACCCTGACACTGTTCACATGTGTAATGTCTTTAAAGGAATAAGCAGGATATGGGGTCTTTTTATTTTTATTTTTTTCGTTGTCAAAGGACCTTTACTTATTTACATGTGGAACCAAGTGCCTCACACATGCTAGGCAAGTGCTTAACCACCAAGCTACAACCCCAGCCCAGAAAAGCAGGATTTGACCTACCTTCCGTTGTTTCCTTCTCTCTTCCTGGCCTTCCTCCTGCAGAACAGATCTAGCTCCATTTTGTTCTCATGGAATTAAGAACTGTCCTACAAGGGAAAAGTCTTGCTCCAAGGCAAGGATTTTTCCCCCTTTATAATACAAAATCCTTGCTCCAAAGCAAGGACTTTTCCCCCCTTTATAAAGTGTCATCTTCTGAAGGGGGAATCACAGGTTGTTTTTCTAAGGTTATTATTTGTTCTGCCCCATTCCGCAACTGCCCTTGAGGGAAATACTGAAATTCCCTATATCAGCCAGAGAGAGAGATCTCTATCATGTTGGGAAGATGCTCAAATCACAAATGTGAAAATCAAATCGACTCTATGCAGATTAAACAGTTTTTCTGCTCCAGTTTTCAGATTGCTTTATCTTTATCTTTGTACTTCGACCAAAAAAAAAAAAAGTATTTGTGCATGCTCTCTCTCTCTCTCTCATACCCACACCCATACATACACACACACCTAATTATATTTGGATGTGGAATCTTGTCAGCGGATTGCAAAAGCTAGTAGGTAGAAATGCTTGTAGAAATATTTTCAGATTTCAGTGGCCTGTGATAGACAGAGCTGGATCTTGTAGGGGATTCCATTCAAACTCAACTGGCACTGCTCTGCTGCCATAAACACCTGATGCAGTGGCCTAATTATAGAGGCTAATTGCCAGGCTGTTTAAGGTACCTTTCAAAAGACTGTAGTGCCTCCTCCGTCCTTCTAATTACTTCTCGGTCTCATTTCCAAACTTAAAACTATCCTGTTATTATGGAGACACCTCCAATTTAAACTGACAGAGAATGTGTATCATCAAGCATCCAGACAAAGGACTTCGTGGCTGCCCTCAAGAGACCCACCTAGAGGCTGTCCGGAAATTCTGTACCAAGGGTTTTTTTCCTTATATTGTTTCATTTCCTTCCTAAAATCAACGAGGTAGATATGATTATTAATTATCCCCATTTTCCAGGGAAAAGAAACAGACAGCTAAATATTTTGCTCCAAATCAGCCAACAATATAAGGCCAGGGCTTGATCCAGAGGGTATCGGTGGGCACCACTTATATCAGGGACAAAACTTAGGCTTTCTGTGCCAGTTTTTCTTATCAGATGACATGTCCCCTGTTACACTAACATCACTAGCTGTTTAGTTCTCTGCTGACCCAGGATGGAGTGCTTTGGTCGCGTCTCCTCTAACGGTTCCACCACAAGCCTCTTCAGGATAGAGCCCCGAGGGTCGCCCTCAATCACCTGGCCCGCCGCCAGCCCTCAGGCCCAAGTAGGCACTGCACGGAGGGCAGAGGGGACACCCTCCCGCCCTGCCTCTGCC